CTTAGAGCCATGAAGAGCTCAGCGATATAAGATATATATTGTTGTTATCGATCCAGCGGTGCATGAGTTTTCGCCCTTTGGCCCAATGCTCTTCATGGCTCTAAGTATGGCCTAAGCATGAGTAGTTGGGGCAACGGGATCGTCACGTCCTGAGTCCCTCTGCCTTCACTATAGTTTCCGGTATTCAGTGGGGTTAGCATACTTGTTTCAACTCCTAAGACTGTTCAGCACACCTCCGGCTCCTTCCCTCCCACAGGGGGCAGTACGGTGTGGTGCACCGGGTTTATTATCGAGGTTTGCTCCTCTAGATCCATTGTGTTTTGCCTGGAGATTCGCACTCCCAATTACCAGGTCTACCTTGGGGTTGGGGGGGGGGGGGTGTGGCTCTTCGCCACGCACAATGGTCTTCAGGTAAGAGAGGTTATACTAGGTCAAGAAGCTGACACCGCAATGGAAGCTTCTTTCGTGAATAGATATTCACTAGACCTAGGGTGAAGTCGGGGGTGGGGGTGGGGGGGGGGGACCACTACCCACACTAACACTTCTTACCTCCTGCCCCTCGAGGCTCAGTCCCATATATATATATATATATATATATATATATATATATATATATATATATATATATATATATATATATATATATATATATATTAATGATAAATTAAAGTTGCATTAAATGCGTTAAATTCTAGGCAAAATCCTAACAGAAAGTTAGAGCACGATGCACATGTAAAGCTTAAAAAAAAGCTACGTTAACAAATAATAATACATGCAACAACCGCTTTGTGAAAAGTGTTGGATAATAGAGAGGAGGGCAGAGTTGTGATCGCTCCTATCTACTACAGACCAAGCTTATTGTACTTCTCTCTCCAGAACTACTGCCTGTCTAAAGATTTGCCATTATTGATGACCGGGTGTCAGTCTGAAAAGAAGACATCACAAATATCCCGTTCTAGGCAGCACTTCCATTGAAAAAGAGTCCGCGTGATAATCGCCCACTCCCGCTCAACAAAAATATAGACTGTTTTCACCTGTGGTCTTTCAGGAGATTGCCCGAACCTCACTCCCAGACATTCAACCGTGCAAGAACAACACAGGAGGCATTCTTCTATGGTGGAAACGGGTTTCCTCGGCCGAGTCTCCCTGCCAGGTATCTCCTGTTTCAGTGAGTTCAGTGATTGACAAAAGACACAAACGGTGTTTGATGGCTGGGAAAACGGGCGGGCAGGAAAGAGAGATTTCTCAAAATCACGAGTGACAACTGTGGGGAAAATACATTTCTTTTCTTGAATGGTTTGTTTTAGTTAAGAAATACAGTTCTCTGTTTTTGCTTACATGGCAGATTGTCAGGGGTCTTCAAGTTTCGTTTTAAATCATTATCGTCATCACCATCGCAGCTACCACCACCTTCACGATCTTTATAATGTCCGTTGAAGTATTTGCACCCGCTACCCACTCAAGGCTGGGTCTACCTGGGGGGGGGGGGGGGGGGGGGGTCCTAGGTCATTAAAAAAAAATATGGCTCCACCAGGGAGCGAACCCACGACCTTCCGATCCGCACGCGAGCCTCTATCCGCTACGCCACGGTGACTCCCCTGCTCTCAAGTAATTGCACTTAATCAAGACAGGTTTCCTGTTTCTAATCTGTCATAATATCGCGCTATCGACATCTTTCCCACGCAGTCAGAGGTTTCCTGAAGTTTACTCCCTTGCCGCCCCTCCCATTACTCTCTCAGTTGTTACACGCCGGATCAAGGCTGTAGATATATTTTATTGGAAATATACGGGGTTTGAGTCTTGACTTCCAACAGCAGCAGGTGATCTCTACAGCAATAAACACACACACACACATACACACACAGAACGATGTAATCTGTAATGTGCAATGCAGGCAGCGAGCTGAGGCGACGGAGAAGATTCAGCTGCACATCTCTCACAACACTGTTAGACAGACCATCCTCCTGCACTAGACAACCAGCTGTTCAGTTTGTCCTTCCAGACTCAATAACCAACTGTGATCGTTAGCAGCGCCGTGGGAACTTGAAAACATGGCACTGTAAGCATTCTACGCTTGAGTAACCTACATCTCTCACGCAGATTTGAGGCATTGCCTTTAATGTATACCGCTTGCTTGATCTTATCTCTGGTGTTGTCAGATCTCCACCTAAGGGACATAAGCTCTAGTCGGAGTTCTGATCAGATCTGGGAATTTTGCAAATGATATTAAGATGCCATGGAAACCAATAGAGAGTATCAGCTTACCGCTTGGCGTCTAGTCTGTGTATGTAACGTAGTATTCTGGGATAGTTGACTGAAATCTGGGTAGGCTGCCGCGAAGAACTGGGTTGCCTCACAGATAACGTGGGTTCTCGCACTTCCTTGGCCCGCAGGGGGGTTGGCCTGAACAAATAGGTTCGTTTCTAGAAGATAGGTGCTGGCTTAAAGCCTCCATCTCTAGGGAGTTTGCCCGAAGTTGAGCGCAGAGGGGAACCTGGTG